CTGTGGGTTCTCTGCTGGCTGCTTCTCAGCTTGTCTGGGTGGATGGGAAGACCCCGCAGGAAGTTCTGTCCCCTCTCTGAGAGCCAGTCAGCAGCAAACCTTATGCTTCCCTTGCCCCAAGTGGAGTGCTGTGGCGTCCACTGCTGCAGAGTGAAACCAGACCACGCAGAGCCACCCTGTAGGACACAGCGGGCCTGCCCCCTGGCTTTCCCGGGCTCTTAGGTTTGAACTGCCAACCATGCCATTAGCAGCCCAGCACTTAGCCACTGTTCCACAAGGGCTTCTTGTTCAAAAGGTCGAGCCTGGGAATTCTCCTTCAAATATACCCCAAAGCCCAAAATGCAGGGCCCCAGAGAGCCCCTTCCCACCATGCCCATGCATTTGGCCTTCAGTACCTGAGAGGCAGGAGGTTGGGCGGCCTTCCAGCCATGCCACAGCCTGCAGTCTGAAGCTCCACGTGACCAGTAGTGGGGGGCCTCTCACAACGCCAAAGCCACTCCATCGAGTCGATTACAACACGGAGCTCCCCTGTGTAGCATTTCCGAGACTAACCTTTGGGTGTTCTGTTTTTAATTTAAGCAAACCTTATTGTCCAGCAGACAAGTATCCAAAGATGTTCTCCGTGGTTGTGAAATGAGGTTATCAATGTCAAATAAAAGATGTGCTTGTGGTACACCAAAAATAAAATAAAATAATGATAATAAAGTTTAAAAAGAAACCTTTGTTGTTGAGAAGATAGTTAAACCAGACAGCACACTTCAAGGCAAGGTATACATTTTGCAAAGGTCTTGTCCCAGGGAAGACCTTGGCAAGTTCAAGCAATACCAAGAAGGGGCTGTGGTGTGTGAGTGGGAGAGGGGCTCTGAAAGAGGAAGAGGAGGGGAGGGTAAGGTACATGGGCACTGTTTCCTGGAGAGCTTCATTGGGAGTGATGAGTATGACTGGGTAGTAATTATGATCTACCAAGGAAAACATTTGGCCATGTTCTCCAGAACTCCACCGTCAAGTAACTTTCATCTAAACCAGGATACCCATAAAAGGAGCATGATTAATTATATTGGGGAAATGGTTCAGTATAGCCAAAGAAAAGCAGCATGTGTGAATATTTATAGGCCATTTCTCAACCACTCCAGTAGGCCCCAAAGTTGCCTCGAAGCCCTGCCATGAATATACAGGATTCGACATATGGTCCCGCTTTCTGATTCCTTTGCCTCATGGAAAACTCAGAGAAGACAATCCCACAAACCTTCCCCAAGTCTCCACCACAGAAACACAGCCCCATTGTCCACGCCTCTGTAGCCTAGTGTGTTTTAGATCCCAACTCTGGAAAGCTCCAATCTTAGATATAAGTCATGTCTCACTGAAGTAATTCCCAGAAAGACAGAGGAGAGAAAAGTAAGGCCTTACACATTTAGCACTGAACTCTGCCCAACAGAAAGTTTCCCACACCATTTCTCATGGATGACATGACCTCATTACATGTTCCCAAATGATGGCCCAGCAGAATGGGTGTGCTTAGATTATAACCTTGCTCAGAGTAAACACGTTTTGTGACTTGGACCCTCGTGGGCATTCTCGGTGTAAAA